TACTGAAATCAAGACCAGACCTGCGCAAGGGGGAGTGAGATGTAGACGCTGCAGCTCAGCTCGGAGGACGTCTGGTCGTGCCCACAGTGCCCTGCTCTCCCACTGGGGGGCAGCGGCTTGGGAACATGAAGTGGTTCACGCTTCCTCCCAGGCCCAGAGGGACAGCAGAGGGACCTTTGCAACCAAGGTTTTGCGCTCATTGGAAATCTTTCCCTTGGCCTCGTTTTTAAATCTGCTTCAGCTAAAAATCTTTTTTTGTTTGTTTGTTTTTTATTCTCACCCAAAGATATTTTCCCATTGGTTTTAGAGTTGGAAGAGAGAGGGAAAGACAGAGAGAAATATCAATGTGAAAGAAACACATCGATCGGGTGCCTCCTGCACGTCCCCTGACGAGGGCCTGGGCAGGGGAGGAGCCTGCAACCGAGGTACATGCCCTTTATAGGAATTGAACCCAGGACTCTCCAGTCTGCAGGCTGATGCTCTGTCCACTGGCTAGGGCTCAAGTAATCTTAATTAAAAGAGCAACTGAACCTTAGCTCTTACACAAGAATCTGGCACCTGGATTGGGTAGAAGTGCTACTTTCATGTGGCTTATTTCACACACATGTGATGTTTGCACGTCCTCACACAGGCCGTTCCCAAAGCTTTCCTGAGGACCAGAATCACTGAGTTCTAGCTAAAAAGACAGACTCCAGGCCACATCCAAACCTTGTGCATTAGCATCTTTGAGGACGAGGCCAAGTCTCTGTCCTAAGAGATTCCCAGGGTATTCCTATGTGCGGACAGTGTTGGGACTGTGGGATGGAATATGTGGCCTTAGAAGGGAAGGGGAGGGAAGGGAACAACAGGTGAAACTTTCCCAGGAAAATCTGAGGAGTGGGTAAAATAGCCTAATTCAGCAAAAAGCATACCTCAAAGGACACACACAGACACGTGGTTAGCACGCTCGCTCAGCCGGGGAGTCACAGGGCAATGGGCCTGTGATTGAAACATCCCCTTCCCCCACTCCTCAGTCTCTACATGCTGAAAATATGGGTTAAGAAAAAGAAAAATCTTTAGAATTCAGACATACCTCTGGAGATGAGTAATCCATGTCGTTCATATTGTACATTCTCTATATTGGACCTATTTTTTTTTTTTTTTTTTTTAAGGAATAAGGAGTTCTGTTTCTTCCGCTCCTACCCGTGGGTCTGAAATCCACACTTCCTTAGAGCATCATAGGATGGCACAGACAACGGAACTTTCCAGACGTTCTGAACTCTGCCCACAGGGCTGCCTCTATGAGGTCACAGCCCCCGCCTGCCCGCAGGAGCTCCCTGGCAGACAGGAGAGAAAGGGAAGCTGGAGAGCCAGAGGCAGCCTTGGGCTTCTGCGGCCCCAGCGCCCCTGCCACGGCCCCTCGGCCGTCCACCGAGCTCTCCGCTGGGGTCTGTCCCAGGAACACCAGCTCCCGGAAAACTGAAGCAGATTTACGTGTTAAAGCAGAGAACGAACGGGGAGGAAGCACCCCCAAACAACACCCGGCACAGGGCTGTCTCCGCCCCCTCCCGGGCTGTTAACACCGGCGGCGCTAGGACCCGGCTTCCGCGTCTGTTGCTAAGGAGGGAGAGGCCTCTCTGGGCCCAGACTCAAGCCTGGGCTTGACCTCCGTGTCCTGGCATCCCCTTTGCTGGCGAGGCAGCCAGGAGCAGGGAACTGGCAACAGGGCAGAGCAGGTGCTTAGCAATGACCCAGGAAGGAGTGTGAGTGGCATTGAGGGCCTGAGCCTTTGGACTTAGACTGTGAGGTAAACAACAAAGAATTTTTTAGTATAAGTATGTCCCATGTAACAGCTGAACATACTGATGTGAAGACGTTATGCTTACCTGGAATTAAACCAGGGGTCCTGCCTTCTTATTTGTTGAACTGGAAATATGGAGAGCAGAGGCCCACTGGGGCCTAGGCTGTCTGCATCTCTGTGGTGTGAAGTGCAGGGTCTCCATCTGTTGTGGGAAATTTTTCACACAATCCTATTCAGAGCCAGTTCTGTCCTGTTTGGCAGGTCAGAGATGGCTGCTCAGCCAGAGTAAGACACGGAGGCACACAGGAGAGACTGTTCCTGGGATTGCCTCACTGACCCACCAGACGGTCATCAGCAGCCGTGTCCGGAGAAGGCTATGGCCCTGCCATCATGGGATAAACATGCCGCGGAGGAGGCAGCTGATACACAAGGAAAAGTGAAATGGGGCTGGCCCTCCAAGGAAGACAGAGATGGGAGGAAGAGGGGGTTCACAGAGGCACCCCTAGATGGCACCCTTGAATAAAAACTATGTGAAAGTCACAATTCAGCTTTCCACAACAGCAGCACTGGGGAATGATGGTTGTAAAGTATTGTTCTAAGCAAAACAGCAAAACCTTTTCCCAGTGGACACCATCGGATTGCAGCTGAGCCAAGTGCAGGAGGCCGCACAGCACTGCCTAAGCATCACATTCAGGGCGCTGTCCATGTCCTCCAACCCACCACCATAAGCTCCCCCTCATCACTGGTTGCAGCGAGAGGCTGATCCCTTAGCTTCTTTAATTACTAGTCTAAGCTTTTAGTCTATGCACCAGCCTGATTGCTGCTAGAAACATGCGTTGGTAGAAGTAACACTGCCACATTTTGGAGCCTGTGATTCATCAAGGTGCTGAGTTCTCCACAGCCAGTCCCACTGCACCCGGGCTGCTTGCTCCTTGCCTAAGGAGCTATTTTCCAGACGAGAAGAGAAACCAAAGAACTCACATGCTTACCAGAGGCCCAGGGCACGAAATTCCAACATGGGTAGGGTCCTTAGCAGCTGCTGGGGGGCCTCCCTTTGTTCCACACTGTCCCTTGATGGTAAGCGCACGCCACAGCACGTGATCAAACTCCAGGTCAATCAAACTGCTGAGGAGACACTTTGCATAATATGTATATATTAGAGGCCCAGTGCATGAAATTCATGCACGGGAGAAGGAGTGTCCCTCAGTCCAGCCTGCACCCTCTCCAATCTGGGACTCCTTGAGGGATGTCCAACTGCCCACTGGGATCAGGCCTAAATGGGCAGTTGGACATCCCTCTCACAATCCAGGACTGCTGGCTCCCAACTGCTTACCTGCCTGCCTTCCTGATTGCCCCTAACCACTTCTGCCTGCCAGCCTGATCACCCCCTAGCCACTCCCCTGCTAGACTGATTGATGCTTAACTGCTCCCCTGCCAGCCTGTTTGTCCCTAACTGCCCTCCCCTGCAGGGCAGGCCTGGTCCCCCCATCTGATCTCCCCTGAAAGCCTGGGTCCTCCCTAACTACCCTCCCCTGCAGGCCTGGTCACCTCTAACTGCCCTCCCCTGCAGGCTTGATTGCCCCCAACTGCCTTTCCTTGCAGGCCTGGTCCCTCCCAACTTTCCTCTTCTGCTGGCCATCTTGTGGTGGCCATCTTGTGTCCACATGGGGGCAGGATCTTTGACCACATGGGGGCAGCCATATTGTGTGTTGGAGTGATGTCAATCTGCATATTACTCTTTCATTGGATAGGATAGAGGCCTGGTGCATGGGTGAGGGCCAGCTGGTTTGCCCTTATGGGTTCCCAGATCAGGGTGGGGGTTCCCTTGGGGCGTGGGGCAGCCTGAGCGAGGGGCCTGTGGTGGTTTGCAGGCCAGCCACACTCCCTGGTGACCCAAGCGGAGACCTTGGTATCTGGGATTTATTTATCTTCTATAATTGAAACTTTGTAGCTGGGAGCGGAGGCCTTGGCTGGCCAGGGTGTGCAGAAAGCTTGACTTCCTTCATCACCAGGGAAACCCAAGCCTCCCTCCTGCTCACTCAGTAGCCACAGCCATCTTGGTTGGGGTTAATTTTCATACTTGCTCCTGATTGGCTGGCGGGCATGGCTGATGGGCATGGCTTGTGGATGAAGCAGAGTGATGGTTATTTTGCATATTACTCCTTTATTAGATAGGATAGATATGAACTGCTTGTGGACATGGGCAAGAGGATGGTGAAGATCTGGGGGGAGGAGTGATAGGGCTGGAAAGGGGGTGGGGGGAAAAGGGAGACATCCATAACACTAAAAAACAAGAACAAAAAGAGTTCTTTCCCCGGTGCTATAGCCATAGGCCACAGACGAGATATAACCAGCACAGGTCCCCAGGGAAAGTGGCGAGAATTAACGGTGCAGTCAGGCCAGTTCTCAGGTCTGCCATTTCACAGAGAGCACTGAGGCTCAGCAGATCACTGGTCCCGGGTCCCACAGTGAGCAGCAGCCCCGGGACAGAGCCAAGGAGTGGTTTCCCCCTCTCCCCCCAGCCCGTGGTCCTAACCAGCATCCTCCAAGGCAGCCGCTTTCATCCCCCGGGACATGTGGTGATGCCTGGCACGTTTCCAGTTGTCACAACGGGAGGGAGGGAGGGAGGGAGGACCAGTGGCCTCTAGGGGACGCCGCTAAACGCTCAACTCCCTGCCCTGCAGGTCAGGCCCCTCCACACGGAGCTCTCCGTAGCCGGCCAGGGAGCAGGCGGCTCCTCCTGGAGCCCAGGGCCCGGGGCTGAGGCTCTCCGCTGTGACAGCGGAGACACCGGCTCAGGACGCTCGCATTGAGAAGTGATGTTTAGTCTTCCACCGGAAAGCCCGCTGCAAACACCCTGAGCTCCGGGATGCTTCCAGAGAGCTTCCTGTGCGCCGTCCAGCGACGGCTGGGCACCGCGCGTCTCCTCGGAGGACAGAAGGGCGTCTCTGTGAGCCCGTTTCCTCCTCCGTAAACCTCCGGCTGGACCCCTGGCTCCCAAGGCCGGGAGCAGGTGGGCGGTAACGCGCTCGGCCGGGCACCGCAGGCACGGCGAGCCCAGGGCGGAAGGGGGCGTGGTCTGAGTGGACAGGGAGTGGCCGGGGCGTGGCCTGAGCGGGCGTGGCTTGGGCGTAGCCTTTGGCGGTGCGTGGGCGTGGTCTGAGCGGGCAGGGAGTGGCTGGGAGCGTGGCCAGGGGCGTGGCCTTGGCGGGGCGGGGCCGCAGCACGCTCCGCCCGGCCTGCGCTCCCCTCCCTCCCCGGCTCCCCGGCTCCAGCTGCTGACGCCGGTTAGGGCGCCGCGAGGCTGGTGAGAGCTCCGGGCGGCGGGGCGGAGCGCGCTGCCGAGCCCCGCGGGGAGGCGGGCAGGAGCGGGGGCGCCGGCCGCACCGCCCGGCAGTGTGGGGAGCGGGTGAGTCCTCCGCGGCCGGGCCCGAGCTCAACTCCGCCGGCCCACGGCCGCCTTCAGGGCGAAGGGGCTGCAGCCTCGCCCACCCCATTCCACCCCACCCTCCGGATCCCCACCCCACCCCACCCCACCCGCCCCACCTGACCCCGACCCACCTCACCCACCCCGCCCATCCCGCCCGACTTGGGAAACCGGCCGCGGGTCTCCCTCCCTCCCCACGGCCCGCTTCTCTCCGAGGGCGCAGGTCGCGCCGAGCCTCGCGGTCACGGAGGCGCCCCCCCAGCGCCCCTTCCGGGCCGTCCTCCGGCCTCCCCGCCGGCACCACGCCCGCCCCGGCCCCGGCCCGGCCAGCTCCGGGCGCCACCGGGCCTGGGAGGCGGAGGGAAGCCGGGGGCGGGGTGGCCGCGGCCCAGCCCCCCCGGGACCCGTGGCAGCCGCCCGAGGGCGGGGCGGGGTGGGGGGCTCCGCCGAGGCCTGCCGGCGGGGGGAGCGGCGGCTCGGCGCCGGGATGGGCGGGGCGGGGCGGGGCGGGGCGGGGCCCAGGCCCTGGACGGATCCCCGGGGCTCCCGGCGGCGCCAGCCCCTGTGGCGGTAGCGCGGCCCCCCGCCTCCTCCCCCGCCGGCCGCCGCCGCTCCCCTCCCGCTCCCTCCGCCGCCCAGGAGCGCCGCCCGGCAGCCCGCGGCGGGAGCGGTAAAGGCAGAAACCACCTGTATGGTGTGAGGGAGGTTTCTGGGGGAAGGGGGCAATGGGACTTGAAACAGTGCCCCCGCTTTCTCTCTTCTGTCTTCTTTTCGGTATCTCATACAGAAGCTCTCAGATAACACCCAAGACCTTTACATGGGATGGTACGTAAAATATGGATGCAGCCACATGAAGTCTTCTATGATTTTTTCTCACAGGCATATTTTCATGTCACTAAATAGCTGCCTTAGCGTTTTAATGATTGTCCGACACTCTGTTGTATGAATTTGTCATTATTTAACCAGTTTCCTACTAATGGACGGTTAGCTTCTTTCCATTGTTTTGCTATTGATTATCTATACTAGGGGTGTCAAACTCAATCAGAGAAGGGGCCAAAATCTAAAATCCAGCCTAAATCGCGGGCCGAATGGTTTACTGAACAGTCATAAACTGTCATTGTGATGGAAACGCAGCGGAGTGCAGTGATGACAGCGTGGTGCGGGCCACATTGCAAGGCCTGGCGGGACGGATTAGGCCAGTGGGCCTTGTGTTTGACACATGTGATCTATACTAATAAAAGGGTAACATGCTAATTAGACTGGACAGACCAGCGTCTTCTGGATGTCCTTCCTGACAAAGACACGGTAGCGGGCAAAGGCATAGTTGTTAGGGTAAGGCGACCAGACTTCCCGCTTTTGGGACAATTTGTCCCGCATCCCGCAGCGTTTTAAAAAAGTCCCGATTTTTGGAAAGAATGCCCAACAAGCTAGGGAGTGGCGGGAGAATGGGAAGGGAATAAACAGTTTTCGGCGGCCATGTGGCTATTTAGCCAGGATATGAGTTTTATATTATTTTTGTTAATTTTATAATGTTAAACTTTAATAATAACAAATAATTGTTGAGAACTCATTATCAAGAACTGCTTCTCAAAGTTCGCATTGTTGATCAGTTGTTAGAATTGGACAACCATTGTTTGGACTTAATGAACAATGGCATTTTTGGAGATTGGCAACGACGAAAACATTTTGTAAATGTCTCTTGATGATACACATTGTACTGTGTGCTAGTAAGCTAGTTAAACAAGTGATGTCATTATAAATCAGCTATTCAGATAATTTAGGTAAGTAATTTATTTATTTACTTCATAAATACATAATTTTTCTTGAATTTAGCAGACAGTACGCGTATTATTTATATTTTATAGTGGCGGCAAAAAGTCTAGCGCCGGCCTTGAAAGTGACATGACTATACATAATTTTTATTTATTTATTATATTTGTAAATTGTACTTATGTTGAAAATTTTTAAAAAATATATATTACAATACTATTTTTGCATTCTATGAAAATTTTTGTTGCTCCATATAGACCAAATTTTTAATCAAGAACTGCCCCTCCTCCAGGTCAATGTCGCGCTTTACCAATGTTAAAATCTGCTCACCTTAGGGGCAATCAGGCTGGCAGGGAGTGTGGTTAGGGGTGATCAGATTGGCAGGCAGAGGCAGTTAGGGGAAATCAGGCAGGCAGGCAGAGTGATTACGGGTGATCAGACAGGCAGGCAGGTGGTTAGGAGCCAGCAGTCCTGGACTGCAAGAGAGATGTCCCAGATTGGAGAGCATGCAGGCCAGGCCGAGGGACCACTCTCTCCCCACCCACCCCAATGCACAAATTTCATGCACCAGACCTCTAGTATGTTATAATCAGGGATACACTCACTGCACATCATTTTGGTATATTGTGATAATGCCTGTTTTATTATTTCCTTCATGTGTCTGGAAAAACAAAGTGTTGGATCAAGGTGTGTGCAACTGGAAATTTTGATAGATATTGCCAAGTTACCCTTCGTCTGTTTACCACCATCAACGTGTGAAGATGGTAGAAGCTATTGTTGGGTCCGTTGCTGAGACTGTTGATGGTTTAAGAAACTTTTTGCTTCTTCCAGTGGCAACAAGAGACAGGGCGACGAGAGTCAGCTGGTGGAAGACCTGATCCCTAAAAGACTAACGTGCGTTGCAGAATGGCCAAAGAGGACACCGCAAATACCTCGAAGGACTTGCAGGAGCTGCAGAGGAAGCTGTGTTTGCTCATGGAGTCTGTCCAGAACAACTCGAAGGTCAGTTTCCAGTCAGTTTGCGTAATGGAAAACCCCGAGGTACCATTAGCTTAATCCATAGGAAGCTCTCTCTCGGGTAGAAAACTTTGGAGGTGGGTCAGGACTCTTTGTAGCTTACCTCTCTGCCGTGTCTGAGTTGTGACCTTCCAGCTCATGGTCCAAGATGGCTAGCCTCAGCCATCACATCCACATTGCAGGCAGCAGGCAAGAGGAGAGGGGAAGAAGGACTTAGAAGCCAGTATGCATTTCAGGCGACTGCCTGAGAGTCACGTACAACACGTACGGGTCCACTTCACAGCCCAGCCGCAGACCACGCTGCACCACTCAGTTCTGAATGGATGTGGGCAGGCTGCTCTAGCCTACGTCACAGATACCAGGATTTCTCTAGCTTTGTTGTTAATTGGGCTTATCTGTTACCCTGAAAATGAGGGCCAGAGTTAGAGGTCTGAGCTCAGTATTCCATCAGAAACCCAGTGTCACATAGAAATGTGATGTGAGCCACCGATGTGACTTAACATTTTCTAGTGGCTGCCCTAGCCAGGCAGCTCCGCTGGTTGGAGGGTCTCCCAATGTACCAAAAGGTTGTGGGTTTGATTCCCATCATGATACAATACCTAGGGTGCGGGTTTGATCATGGGTTGGGGTGCATATGGGAGGCAACCAGTCAATGCGTCTCTCTCTCAAAAAAAAATCAATAGAAAAATATATCCATGGGTGAGTATTTAAAAAATGGTAAAGTTTTCTAGTGGGCACATTTAAAAATTAAAAGGAAGTAGAAGAAATTCATTTTAGTAATGTATTTTATTTAATCTAGCATACCCAAAATATCATTTCAACATGTAATCATTATAAAAATTATTAATGGAAGAATGTTATTTAGATGCTTTACTGTTTTTTTATACTAAGTCTTGGAAATACAGTGTGCATTTTTCATAACGTATCTTACTTTGCACTAGCCACTTTCCAGGGGTTCAGTAGCTATTCAATGGGGATGGGACTTCAGATAGTATATTGCACTTCCCTGCATTTATCTTTATAGCTTTCTTTTATGTGCCTTTCAGCACATTGTCAGAAAATAATAGCAGCTCCCAGATACAGCATTATTACCATTTTGTTGTATGTCCTTCTAGACTTTTTCTGGGCAATCCTATATAATAAAGAAGTAATATGTAAATTGACCATCACACCCTTGCACAAAATGGCCACCCCCATGTGGTCACAAGATGGCTGGCAGGGGAGGGCAGTTGTGGGCAATTAGTCCAGCAGGGGAGGGCAGTTGAGGGGGACCAGGCCTGCAGGGGAGGGCAATTAGGGGCAACCAGGTTGCCAGGTGATGGCAGTTATGGGCAATCGGGCTGGCAGGGGAGCAGTTAGGCGTCAATAAGGCTGGCAGGGGAATGGTTAGGGGGTGATCAGGCTGGCAGGCAGAAGCTGTTAAGGGCAATCAGGCAGGCAGGCAGGCAAGGCCGAGGGGTCCCAGATTGGAGAGGACGCAGGCTGGGCTGAGGGACACTCCCCCTTGAGTGCACAAATTTTATGCACCGGGCCTTTAGTGTATATAAAAGCCTAAGAACCTTTACAACCGAATGACCGGAACAACCGGAATGACTGGTCAACCAGTCGTTTTGGTGCACACTGACCACCGGGGGACAGACGCTCAACTCAGGAGCTGCCCCCTGGTGGTCAGTGCGCTACCACAGCTAACCTCCTGTGGCCCCTCTCCTACCCAACCCTCCTTAGCCAACCTCCCTCAGCTCCTCCCCCCAGCCAGCCTTGATTGTCAACCAGGCCGAAGGACCCCAGCCATGCACGAATTCGTGCACTGGGCCTCCAGTGTGCCCATAACAATGTGCATGTTGGATAATGAGCTATTTTGTGCCCTCTCTTTGTGCTGGACGGCACAGCCCACTGCGGTCCATCGGAGAAGACACCACTTTGTGATCTGGGTAATGCACTCTACAGAGACCCTTTCTCCACTCGCCCAGTGCTGCAGGCACTCTGAATTAAGACAGCTTTTCTTTTTCTTTTTTTGTTTTTAAATATATTTTTATTGATTTCAGAGAGGAAGGGAGAGGGAGAAAGAGATTAAAACATCAATGATGAGAATCACTGATCCCCCTTAACTGGGGATTGAGTCTGCAACCCAGGCATGTGCTCTTGACCGGAATCAAACCCAGGACCTTTCGGTCCACAGGCCAACACTATCCAATGAGCCACACCTGCTATGGCTAGACAGCTTTCTTTCCATTGGACAAGCAGCAGGCTGAAACTCTTGTTTCTAAAAGTTAACTCATCTACCTTCTAACTTGATTCTCATTATATGTGTTAGCTGTATCTTATAAAGTTACCCCCCCCCCCCCACACTGAATTTGTAAATCCTGGACCTCTGCTCCTAGCGAAATACAGGGTTAGGTCTTGGCAAACTCCTGGTCACAGCACTCCCATCCACAATTAATCCATACCTGTTGCAGTGCTATTTCTGTGTACAGACACCTCACTAAGCCAGTGAGCGCACAGCGGGCCCGCCATGCCTCTTGCCTGAATGAAGCTTAGCTGACACATTTGTTTTCTCTGAGTCACAACACTGCCTGCTTACACACAGGCGCCATTTTAAATGGCGAAATCACCACTACCAACGAAACACACTCGGGGAAGTGTGGGGAAGGTGGCACTAAATGGGTCATGAAAAGGGCAGTTATTCAGAGCGGAAACCAGAAGGCATGTGCCTCTGCGGTGACCGCTGCCGGGGACGCGAGTGAGGCGAGCATGCTGCAGCCAGACGCTGACCAGGCATGTGGTGTGTGTCCTTCCTGTTTCCACCACCTTGAGTTCGACATCCCAGCGTGAACCCTGCCTCCTGGCATCGCCCCTTCTTCGACTTCGTCCTCGGCCACGGTCGTGGACTGGCTTTGGGCTGCAGCAGCGGTCACCAGCCACTGGTCCGAGGTCCGGACGGTTGGTGACCGCGGGGCCAGAGGACGGGGTTACAGTGGGTAAGCCCGGCAGAGCAGTTTCTGTAAAATGTCTGTTGAATTAATGTTAATCGTAGGCCCCAGAGGCAGAAGAGGCTAAGAAACAGGAGATTGCTTAGGACTGAGTGGCGCAGTCCTGCTTTCCTCCCAGGTCCCAGCAGGTCCCCTCCAGCCTCCCCGTCATCGCTCCGTCCTCACCTCCCCCGTGCCCTCAGGGCCCTCAGCCACCTGCAGGCTGGGGGCTTGCACTTCCCATGCCTCCCCATGGCCTCGCACAGACTGCCGGCCCCTCCTTCCTGCTCATGGTCCTGCTCAAAAGCCAGCCTTTGCTTCTTATTTGTTTCTTCCCTTTCCAATGGAAGTAAGCCAAGTATATAATTTTAAAGTTTTTAATAGCCACATTAAAAGCATATAAAGAAACAGATGAAATTAATTTTAATAATATATTTTATATAGCCTAGTGTATCCAAAAACAACATAATTTCAACCAGTAATCAGTATAAATCATTAGTGAGATAGATATTCTACATTCTTTTTCCATATACTCAGAGCATTCAATTCAGATGTTAAATTTTTATTGCAAATACTTGATTTCTGTTCAGATTTCATAAAATTTTCAGTTGAAAATTTGAGACATAACTGACTTATTTGAAATGAAACTTAAAACTTCCAACAACTGAATCAAATTTCAATTTTTAAATTTAAAACCAATTAAAAACCCAGTTCATCAGCTAAACAAGCCACCTTTCACCCTGCTGGCACCTGGAGCTCAGCCCAGCCGCCTCCGCGCTCAGGGACTGTCCCAGGAGGAACCGGGGAACCGGGGGAACTGGCCAGCCGGGCTTACTAAGGAGATGTGCCACTGGGCCTGGACAGCTGGAGGGGCAGCCACTCCGGGACCCTCTCCTGGCCTCACCCTCACCTTCAGCCCCCCCCCGCCCCCCCCCACACACACCCCAGGAGACTCCTGCTGCATCCCGGAGGGCAGAGCGGGCAGCCTGCGCCTCCGCTCCCTCTGCCGGAGAACTGCAGAGCCACACTCGGCAGCTCCTGGAAGGAGCAGCTGGCAGGGAGCCGGTGGCAGTGCCCTCTGTGCCAGGCCTCCGCTGGTGTAGGAGGGGGAGCCTGCTCCTGGGGAGGAAGAGCCGCTCGCTGACTGACGCCGCCCGCGCCACAGAGTCGTCGGCTGTGGCCGCGGGGTGTCCAGGTTGATGGCTAAAGGCTCTTTTCCTAACGAGGTGGCAGTCCTGGAAAGCCTTTGACACGGAGAGGGGATTCTCCTGGCCTCCCTGTGCCGCGAGGAAGCTGTGTGGCTCTAGGTGACACTGAGCCCCCCTCCTCCAGCTTCAGTGGGTGCCCGGGGCAGCGGGTAGCCGGGCATCTTGTTAACCAGCAGCATCTGGCCCGGGCCTGGGCAGGGCCGAGATGCCCGTTTCCAGCAAGCAGGGGATCTGGTGAGCGGGGACCTCGCTGTGCCCTGGCCTCGGCGGGCGTGCAGGGGCAGAGGGACACTGTGCTGGCTCTGCTCACGGCCCCGCCTCCCTCGGGGCTCCGCTGGCGGCCCTCAGACTGGCGGAGTGCCCAGTCGCCTTCGGGTGTGGGCATGAGGGTCCCTCTGGGGAGGACTGTTACCGCTCTTCCTCAGGAGCCCAAGGCATGGCTGCCGTGCCTCCTGCAGGCGGCGCCCGCTGTGCATCGCTGTCCTCTCTGCCGCAGGTGGTGGCCTTCATGAAGTCTCCGGTGGGCCAGTACCTGGACCGCCACCCTTTTGCAGCCCTCACCCTGCTGGTGTTCGTCGTGATGTCGGCCGTCCCTGTTGGCTTCTTCCTGCTCCTCGTGGCGCTCACCTCCCTGGCTGCCCTCGTGGGAGTCATGCTGCTGGAAGGTACCTGCTCGGTTATCTGCCCCCGGAGAATGCTGCTTATTGGCACCTGAGCGCTGGGCAGAGGCCCCTGCTCTTGGCAGCAGCACGTGGGCATGGCCGCCGTCAGGGGGCTGAAACACGGAGTCGCGTTAATGTTCGCACTCCCAGTGCGATACGGACACGCTGTGGGCCCTCCCTGCGCCCCGAGTCCTCAGTGTCAGCCCGAGTGACGTGCTGGCTCGGGGGCTGTCGTGGGGATTGAACACACATTTCATCGCGTGTTCAGCACAGTCCACGGGCAGCCTCCCCGTGGATGCTGACTGCTGTCGCTGCCGCCCGCCGCCGGCTGCCGCCTTGCGGGGCGCTGGGGCTCTCCTCTCCCCTTTCCTCCTGAGGTTCCCGGGCCGACGCTCAGCTCCCCCGGTGACGCTGAGTTAGAGCGGCCGAGAGAGCAGCTCTCTTCGGCTCCGTTTGCCCCAGTCAGATCACAGCCACAGCAGACTGCCAGGAGGTGGCGGCAGGCCGCAGCCCCTGCAGCCCCTGCTGCGCCTGCGCGGAGCCCGGAGCACCGGATGGTTTCCCGCCCCGGCCGGACCGGCGCGCTGTGCTCGAGGAGGGCAGGCACGGTGGGCGGGAGTCCCGGGGCGGGGGGCGAGTGGGTCAGTGGTGGGCGGACACGTGAGCGTGGAGAGAAGACGGCCCCTCACTGTGGTGGCGTACAAGCTTCCCAGAGGCAGGGCTTGGAGACGTGTGACAACGGTTTCCTTTGGGGCGGGAAGGGCTTTAGGCAGGAGATCAGCATGGGCAAAGCCTGCAGAGCAGTGGGTCTCGGGCTTGAGTGAGCATGAGTCCTGCTTGTGACAGTGATGACTTCAGGTCTCATCCAGGCGGTCTGGGGTAGGGGCTAGAAATCTGAATTTAGCCGGGACCGGTTTGGCTCAATGGATAGAGTGTCGGCTTGGGGACTGAAGGGTCCCGGGTTTGATTCCGGTCAAGGGCATGTACCTTGGTTGCGGGCATATCCCCGGTCGGGGGTGTGCAGGAGGCGGCTGATTGATGACTCTCTCTCATCGATGTTTCTAACTCTCTATCTCTCTCCCTTCCTCTCTGTATAAAATCAATAAAATATATTAAAAAAAAAATAGAAATCTGAATTTAAAAAACAAACAAACATATATATATATGTTTGATTTCAGAGAAGAATGGAAGAGGAAGAGAGAGCTATTGTAAAAACATCATTGATGTTTCTATCTCTCCTGCACCCCCCTATTTGGGATCAAGCCTGTAACCTGGGCATGTGCCCTTGATAGGAATCAAACCTGGGATCTTTCAGTCCACAGGCCGGGACTCTATCCATCGAGCTAAACCGGCTAGGGCCAGAAATCTGAATTTTTAGCCAGCTTCCCAATGCTCCTGCTTCTGATACAGTGGTTATTGGCTGCCTTCAGAGGACGCTGACTGGGTTTTGTCAGTCTGACGAGAAGGCAGCGCGCTGTTGGATTCTGTGTGCACAGACGATCGCCAAGGCCACGGGGGCCTGGGCTGCTCGCTGCTCCCGCCGTGAGGGCCGTGCTCTGCATGTTGCTAGTCCTGCGTTGGGAAGGGGGTTTGCTGTGAAGGCGGGGAGATGCTGGCAGACAGAAACTGCCACTGTCATCCATGTGGCGAGTGGTGTGGTCAGGTCAGCCTGAGGCGTTGATCATTTTACCTTTGACAGACGCTCTGAAGCTCCAGGAGGCCCGGTCGGGGAACGCTTAACCAGCATCGGCCTCGGCCTCGGGCTCCCCGCTCTGGGAGCCCGGCCTCACCGGCCAGAACTGCACGTCCCTCTCAGATCCCACTTTATGAAAAACGTGTTTTCTCTAAAAAAGTCAGCTGTTTTTTACACATGACAGCCGGGCTGCCGCGGCCGCTGTGAGGTGACTCTCCCGCCCTCCCGCCCTCCCAGGCCTGGTCCTCTCGGTGGGCGGCGTGGCGCTGCTCTGCGTGCTCTGTGTCCTGGGCTTCCTGTCGCTCTCCGTGTCGGGGACCATCGTCGTGTCCTACGTGGCGATGTCCAGCCTCATCAACTACTGGCTCTGCCCCAGGTGAGCCCCCGCCCGCGGTGACCTGCCTTCTCCCTGCGGGTCCCACCGTGACCCTCCCCGCAGTGTGGAGGGCAGCTCCAACGGGCATCACGGGACTTACAGCGCAGCTTCAAGCGATGGTTTTGTAACCCCCACACCACATGGTTTTGTTGTCATGGCAGCTCTATGAGGTAGCTACTGATTAGTTCCTTTGAAAAGATGCTCATTAATTTACAGAAACTCAAATCAAGGTGATTTTCTGGGAGGAAGGAGGAACATCCGTGTTCCTTGCGGTCCCTGTTGCTCACCTGGGTGTCAGTCTGAGCTGGAGGTAGAGCTCCCTGGGGCCTGAGTGGGACAGCCTCCATCGATGTCCGCTGCGGAGGGACCAGCGGGCCGCGGCCCCCGCTGCAATGGGCCCTGTGAGTTCCAAGTGGGATGTGCCCCTTTGTGCTTCCTTCAGCCCTGCTGCCTTCATTGTGTAGCCAGTCCCCCAAGCACGTGCTGCGGGCCGGGGACCCTCAGCCCCGGGAGGCAGACGCAGCCCTGGGAGGCAGGCACTTACAACAGGGAGGAGGAGGCTGGTCCCAGCACCAAGCGGCAGGGGAGGGGCTCAGAGCCAGAGCAGTACCCTTACCTGAGATGTAAGATGGCTTCACAGCAGGGGGCAGCAAACCTCTATCAGGGGCCAGACAGCGCATTTCAGAGGAGGCAGATCATGTGGTCTTGGTTGTAACCACAGCTCTGTGCTGTGCTGTGAGAGCCGCAGAGTAAGTGAACCAGAGTGTCGCTGAGCTCCAGGGCACTGTTTACAGAAGTGGGCAGGGGGCCAGCTGTGCTCTCAGCACTGAGACGCTGGGTTCGGTCTCTGCACAGTAGCCCTGAGCCTCTGGCCCTGCAGCTGTGGGAGCTCTCAGACATCGTGCTGGTCGCTGTCAGTCTGGAAGGAGATGAAAGACGAAACGTCGGTCTGTTTGGCCCCTGCGTCCGCGCCTTTCCTGCTGCACAGGCTCCGCCACAGGCCCAGCAGCCACGACCCCTGGCACCTGCTCCCCTTGGTCGTGGAGAGAGGGAGACGAGGCGGGCTGGCCCTGGGGGTGAGGCAGTGGTCAGGGCTGCTCCAGGCCAGGCTCTCGGACCCTGAGCTCTCCACACTCGGTGCTCAGCCTCTGGTTCCAGCTCCATCTTACCTCCTTAGAATGACGAGTCTTCGGAGAATTTTTGTTTGAAGTTTCAGTGTATTGATAATTGTTCAAATGGAAATCATAACAGGAATTTGAAAAACTTTTTTTCATTTACAAAGAACAAAGTTACCTGTTGTCATACAGAACACACCTTCAGGAGAAGTAATTATATTTCCAGTACAAAACGGAGAAGGGAGTGGCCTTGTCCCCACTGTGCAGAGACCTCTAGAGTCTCAGGAGGAGAGGGGGGCGGTTCCGGCCTGTGCACCGCCCTGTGCCTTGCCTGGGTGGAGCTTGAGGAGGAGGCACCCTCACAGGGCCCGGCCTGCTCTGGGCCAGCCCACAGGCCCAGGAAGGGAGCGCTAATGGCCGGTGAGATGTGAACTTTATCAGCAAGTGCTCCCTTCAGCTAAGCTCCAGGACTGAGCAAAGTGGTGAGAAGCAGTGTCACCACACTCCCGGGCTGTGGAGGCTCATGTGCTGGGACAGAAAGGCTGGCCGGACCTGCAGGATTTGCTACATTAAAACCCACGGGTCTCTCTCGTACTTTCAGTAGGTTTTCCAACCATGCATGAGTTGGTAGCTTGGTTGGCCATTGGAGAGTGCTGGTTCATGGAGAACTGAGCATGGAGTGAGGAAGACGTGCTATGCTGTCGGTGGGTGAATGCTTCAAAGCTCAGGGGACAGGTGCCTCTCTTGTTCAGGAATCCAGAGCACAGGGGAGAGGACTGCCCACTGTACTTTATGAGGCAAAAGGAATCTTGGCCCTAAAACAAAAGATAACATAACTAACTTTGTTAAAGGAGACGAGACTCTAAGCTGGGTTTGTGGGAACTGAGCAGCCGTGGGACGAGCCACGCTGGCCGCCTCCGTGCAGCTCAGCCGGGCACGCTCCTCGCAGGGCGCCTCGGCCTCGGGCTCGGCGCGGAGAGCGGGCAGCCTGTGGAGCCGCCGCCATCACGCAGTGCGGCCGCCTCCCAGCGCCCCTCGGGGAGACGGCTCCTCTCAGCCCTCTGCCTGCAGGTGGGAGGCTGAGGCTGTCAGGTAATAAGACCGAAGCAGGTCCCTGCTTGGACAGGTGGTTGGCTTTGTGGCCCAACCGGAAGCTGGAGGCGTGGGCTCTGCGCCGTCATAGCCCAGCCACCCGCCGTGCTGCCCTCAGAGCCGCCAGCTGTCACCTCCCAGACACAGGAAGGTGCCGTGGCTGGGCTGCACCAGCCGCGTCCAAAGCAGGGGAGGGAGACAAACCGAGTTTCTTCAGCAGCGGCAGCTGCCCTTTCTGTGGAGTAAGTGGGGCTTCCCGAGACCTCTCCGTCCTCCCAGCAGCCTCCTGGGCCGGCGGCCTGTCAGGGTGCTCAGCTGGGTGGGTGGTGAGGAGGGTTCAGTTTGCTCAGCTCCAGCAGTAAGAACTTGCGAGGGATGCACCTTGGGAACGTGCTTGTCAGCCAGGCTGGTGTGTGGTGGATTGTCAGGTTGGCAAGACTGCCTCAAGTTCACGACAACCCACAGATCCCGGCTCTCACAGGGGCAGCAGCACTGCCCTCGGAAACACGCCATCACGGGGACAAAAGAGACCCACCTGCTGCTTCCCCTACCTCCCTGATGCTCAATCACCAAGAAATAGTCAATTGGAATATGAAGATAAGGGGATTTTTCTTTATTTTTTTAATGTATTGATTTGAGAAAGAAAGAGGAGAGAGAGAGAGGGAGGGAGGGAGGGAGGGAGGGAGGGAGAGAGAGAGAGAGAGAGAGAGAGAAATAGAAACATCAGCCTATTGTTCCATTTATTTATGCATCCATTGGTTGATTCTTGTATGTGACCTGATCAGATACTGAACCTGCAACCTTGGCATTTCAGGACTGTGCTCTAACGGTTGGAGCATAACCAACTGAGCCACCTGGCCAGGGCTCAGGCTGTTTTATTGGTAAAAATAGAGGCCTGGTGCACAAATATTCATGCACTTGGGGGGTGTCTCAGCCCAGCCTGCACACTCTTACAATCTGGGACCCCTTGGGTAGGGTCCAGTCCCATCGCAGCGTGGCTCTGGTCCCCGGACCTGTGGGCTGGGGAGGGGCCAAGAGCCAGCCTGATGGCAGCATGGCTCCGTCCCCACAGCTCCCTCCCACTGCTGCTGCGCGACGGGCGGCGGGACCCAGGACTGACTGTCCTGCCGCACCAGCCGGGACCTTAGCCTGCTGGTGGGCCATCCGCCCTGACATTTAGGTCGTGACGGCCCTGCTCTGTGTATGTTAGGATAGGGTTACTCTTTGCTCTGCGTTTCTCCCTGGATAGTTGTGAGGACATAGGCAACAACGGGGAAAGCGTGCTATGGAAATCAGAAAAGGGAAAAGGGCCGTCAGCCCTGTCTCACTGAGCCCTCTTCACTTCGTGTGCCCTCGGGTTCCTCACCTGTGAAACTGCTGTGACCCAGACCTGGTGTGGTGACAGCAAGCAGCTAAGGTAACCCCCTCCAGCTGTGTACGTCTCCGCCCTTCTCTCCACAGAGGCCCCGGAACTGACTGCGTCCTCTCGTCATGGGACAGACCGCTGACGCCGAGCCCCGGCGGCGATGCCAGCCGCCCGTGAGGTCCAGGCGTGCAGGCCCGCCAGGAGTGCCGACGGAGCCTGTCCCAGTCACTCTGGAGGGTGCTGGGCGGTCACATTCCCTGGGTGTGTCCTCTGCCTGTCACCTGTTTGTGGGGCCTGCCCTGCCCGGCAGCTTGGCTGCTCACCCTTCTCCCGGGTGAGGCAGACTTGACTTGGAAGTTGAGCCCCTAGAGCCTGTTGATGGGACCCCAAGGTTGACTTGACCCAGGAGTCTGTGTCTAGGGGCCAAATTAGGGCAAATGTGGATTGTTTTTTAGTTCTTCCTTTTGTTTTTAGAAATGAGAGAAGCTGTTTATTTCTCCACTCACTCGAAACAAGAGTAGGGGTGAGAAATATCCAAAACAGAGCAAGCTCTTCTGTTTTATTAGCTTTTTATCAGAAAGAACAGTAACGTTGGACAATAACAGACTCTCAAGTTAGAACAGCCTTAATTTTGTAGTCAAGAGCTTTTTTCAAGTCTCAGGGAACAGCATCCACGCTGACTCCTGTGCAGTGCTTTTACTCTTTGCACTTGATACTTTTGTATTGTTTTGAAGAACTTGTCCTGTTAAGCCATTTTTTAAAAAGTTCTATGAAAATGCTAAAGGACTACAGAAAATTTTAAAATTCTGTGGTATTTCTATTTCAGTGGTTTATTTGCTGTGGCATTTTATTCAATAAATATTTGTTTAGATTTTCTTTTCTTTTTTTTACTTTCTATTCCCTTTCTCTTTAGACAAATTCCTTGTTCTTTGTCGAATTCATGGCAGATCCTGGTAAGATGGCTCTTTAGTTGCTAGTGATGGACACTCAATCCAAAGTGGCTTAAAACATGGGAGGTGAGGGGGCGGGGCTCATTTCCACTGGGAAGCCCGGGCTCAGTCTGCAGGCGCTGCTGGTCCAGGCTCCCTCCGCCTCAGAGTGCGTCCCTCGGAGCAGCGGCCTGCCCTCCGGCCCTCGCTCACAGCAGCTTATGGGCAGCACTTAGTGCCAGACAAGGGGGCTGCTTTTTTTCTATAGTGCATACAGGAGTTTGGGTCTGACTCTGATTAGACATACTTGGGTCATGTGAGCAGCCCGGACCAATCCCAGTGCTGGGGACGGACTGTGCTGATAGGGCAGGGCTGGGCGGGGCACTCTTCAGGAACGGGGAGGGGTAGGTCAGCTCCACTGGTCCCACATAGGGTGGGGAAACGGGTGCAGACAGGTGTCAGAAGAAAAGGAAGTGTTTGCTAGGCAGGCAAAAGCAGATGTGGGCAGTTTGCCACAGTTAGGGCAAAAAGGCCTTACTTTGGGAACCTGTCAGCATTCATGTTAGCCACATCCGTCACTGAAGTGCCTTTCCCCATACAGCGAAGAGCTGCCCATTCCTGCCACACGGGGCATTGCCATTGCGGGGGGGTGTGTATGGAAGGTCTTCCTTCAGGTGAGTGTCTACGCCCCTGGGCTCGGGTCTAACTCACCACAAACCATGGGCTTGACAGCACAGTCTCGCTGTGTGTGGAGGAGTCGGGCACGGCCGTGAGGGTTGGGGAAGGGTCTGAGGGGCTGGCGGTTGGGGAAGGACAGGCCAGAAGCCTCAGGGTGGGGAGGCCCAGGGCTGGCAGGAGGGGCTCTGATGGAGAAGAGGATTTGGCAGGTAGAGAGGTGTGACACACAGAAGAGCGATTGCGGAATGTAAAGGCCTGGATGTCGGGGATCTCTGACCACTCCCTTTTGGAAGCTGTCTAAGTCTGGAGAATGTTACATTTCCATCCTCAGTCCAGTGTGAATCGTGGTCTAATTTACATTGTGGCCAGGTGGTATTACAATAGAAAATAAGGCTCTTTGGCCGAACCTCTGTTGAAAGGCCGAGTGTGTTAAGATTATGGAGGAGACATCCTAAAGGAGTGTTTTCTTTGGGGGGAGAGAGGTGGGGGAAGGGGATGGAAAAGAATTCCCCATGCTGTATACCAGGAAGAGGAGGTGAGCAGCAAAGGAAGGCTGCGGGAGGCGTCCCAGCTGTCCAGTCAGGCTCCAGAGGAAGACAGTCTGATTTGTGTGGTGGGCATCCCCTGAGAGGAAGACTGTGGACCTGGTTGGATTGGAGAGGATTTCTGGCCGAGCGCTAGGTCTTCTGTCTGAGGCGGCGAATCAGAAGTCTGGAGGGTGGATCCAGTTGTCACCTACCAACAGCAAGCGAGCTGGTGTTGAGTGGGAGTCAGCAGTGGGAAGGAAAGGTCCCCCGTCTGGCTGGTTCGAGAGGAGGTAGGCCTGATGGAGGCCGGTGACCATGTAGGATTGGGAGGTGAGCCCAGGCCGAGCTGCTGCTGCCTACTGCTCTCTGAGCAGCGAACTCGGGTGACCAATGCCCGGGCGATGGCTCCCCTTCCCTGTGGACCTCCCCACCCCCCAGGTTCGAAGGAACCTCAAGACATCATTGGGGACCCCAGGAACATGAGGAATTCACCAAGTCTGCAGGCATTGCAGGCAAACCCAATGGCAACCAGCTTCTTTGCCCCGAGGGGCTAATGAAAGCACAAGTATGAGAGTCCAGCAAAGCAGGCTTTTTAAAAGCCTCTATGATCAGTTGCTATCCTTACTGTGTTCGTGTAAACAGTCAGGCCAGGTTGTAAGTAGACGTAATGCAGTGAATAACTTGGGTCTTGATTTAGCACTTTAATAAAAATAAGGGTGATTAGAGGGGGGAAATGTGTTTCAGTGGATTACATACACACAGTTATGAATGTTAGATTCTAGCTCAGATCCTTGTCTTCAAAATTTTGTTTTTATGTCAATCAACCTGGCCTAGTCAGGGATAGTGCCCCAAATTAACAGAAAGGGCCACAAAGAATAGTGAATGTCAATCAAATTCCTGGGACTGCGCACTAAAGAATATAAACTGATATACCTGGCTACTTCCCTTCACAGGACCTTAATGTTCAGTTCCTCGTCCTTGCTGTTGGCCCATGGATTCTGCACCATTTTTCATCTTCAGGACCACTCTGAACCCTCACCAACCAGCCTCAGGGAAATCATGCTTTCGCAACCCCTCCCTCCAACCAGGAGGATCTGTACCGTGTTCCAGCCCACTACAGGCAAGATCCTTCCCCCTGTGATACCAACGTCCCCCCTCAGCAGGAAGTAACTACAGAAGATATGACCTTTGTCCCGATTCCATAAAACGGCTGGAATGTTAGGTCTGATCAAATAATTGAATCCATACCCTCCCTGGGAAGTGACCTTTAGGCCACTTCACAACCACCGTTCCTTTCCCTTAGACACACTCCACTTGAGAGGAGCAGCCTTCCCCGCCAGAATCCTCTGCCCAGAAAAAGCCCACCAGAGTCCTTTAAAATCCGACTCCCCATCCCTGGTGCTGCCATTTGGGGCTCAGCCCATTTGGGTTTCCAGATGACTTGATCTATAATAATAAGAGGGTAATAGGCTAATTGACGGGTGTCTTTTGGACATCCTTTCTGAAGAAGCTGGATCCAGAGGGAAGCCAGCCCAGGTCCTGAGTGCCTGCTGGCATCCAGAGGAGGAAGCCCAGGCCCTGGGCGCCAGAGGGAAGGCGGTGCTGGCAGCTGGGAGAAGGAAGGCCTACTCTTGCATGGATTTTGTGCCTCGGGCCTCTAGTAAATTTATAAATATTTACCCCTTTGCCCTCATGGGCTCCTCCTTCAGCAGCCTGGCTTTGCTGGGCGCTTAGTAAGACTGCAAGCACAATGTGCCAGGGCTGGGCTTTCAGTGAGGTTGACTGGGGAAGGACCCTACATCCAAGCCCATGTCACTGGCAGTGTCCGTTCCTGTGGGGTGAGGCCTCAGCCCCTCTCTGTGGCCATGCACACATGTGGTCAGGCTTCTTCAAAGCCACCAAGGCAGTCTCTCAGCAAGGCAATGTCGCATTTGTGTGCAATCATGCCACTTTTGCCATGCTCTGTGGGTTAGAAGCAATCACAGGCCCACCCACACTCCAGGGCATGCATGCCACAGTGGGGTCGGGCTCCCCCTCAGCGCCTGCCTACCTGCTGCAGGAAGTGAGGGAAATATGAGACCATGGTAAGTTCACTGAAGAGTGCAAAAGGGTCATAAGTAGCTGGGAAGGCCGTGTTTGCCACAGTGACCTGAGTTTTCGCTGAACCCAAGGATGTGAAGAGGCCACCATGTCAAGAGCTGGGGTGGGGACACAGCAACACAAAGGCCACACTGGGAGGGGCTTCCCACATTTAAGAAAGTGTGTGTGTGTGGGGGGGGGGGAGGAATCTGGTGAGCAGACTGTAATGGGGAGAGAGGAGCCCATTATGCAGGGCCTCACAGAGAAGAACCTAACACTAAAGAGAAAGGGAAGATGGTGAAGAATCTGACACATCACAGTGAGAGACACAATCACTGGCCGACAGGTTGGGGCAGAGGCTGGCTGGGAGGTCTGTGAGGCCAGAGGAGGGGGGTGGGGGGGGGGGGTGTTGGAGAGCCGGTGCCAGAGCTGGGCTGCAGTGGTTGGGGAGGCAAGGGCACAAAGATGCACCTCATTTGTAACAGGAGCTGGTGGGGAGGCAGTGGCTCTGTTTTCGAGGTGGCGGCTGTGATCCAGTCTGCTCTGCTCACTGAAGCCAGGCTTCCGCTGATTCCCAGAAGCATCGGAAGTGGCGTGGAGCCGGTGCGGCTGGGATGCGAGGTTGGGGAGTGTTTACAGTGCTGGGAATTTTCCTATGGAATGGTCTAAGGGTAGCCAAGAGTTCATTTTATTTTTATTTCTCAAAATTTAAAACTTCTTTATGGACATGGAAAAACCTACCCATAATAATACCTGCAGCTCAGTGAGTTCAGAGGTGAGTACGTGACATGAAACCACTGCCTCAGTACACGGCCAGCACAGCCAGCCCCGCCCAGCGGCCCCCTCGCCCCTCCTCCCGCTGGGTCTGTGGAAAGGACCCGCAGTCAGCGGGGGCTCACCGGGCTTGGAGCCCGCAGGGCCGGGGCGGGGAGAGAGGCCACTGAGACACCTCCTGACTAACCGCCAGGACCAGAGCGGACACCTCCCGGCCTGGGATCCACAGGGCCAGCTGGTGCCTCCTGCCCCGGCTGCTGCCCACACCCTCCCCTCTGCCCTGGTGGGAAGGAGCGGAGACCTGGTGGGGTGGGGTAACATCCTAACTTCTACTCTGAGTCAAGCTCCTTTGACCTACATTTTTGGTAAAACTCCTTCCGGAGTACCAGCGGGAATTCACAGGTGGACGGAGCCGGAATCCGGGCTCTTGGGCCGTGAGGGAGCCAAAGCAAAATGAATAGGTTAACAAAGCATCTTATTTCTGGTTTATACAACTTTGGCTGTTCATCCACAGAAAAGCTTACAGAGAAGTTGATGTATTCTTATAGATGCAAGTTATATCACAGACGTTTTCCTAAAAGTAAAGGTTCTTTAAGCCCGAATCAGTTTGGATGCTTTTACAGTACCTGCAGACAAAAGGCCTCTCTCTCTTTTTTTCCTTTTTTAAAAATCCTCATCTGAGGATATTTTCCCATTGATTTCCAGACAGAGTGGACAGAGAGAGGAAAAGACAGGGACATCGATGTGAGAGAAACACATCAATTGGTTACCTCTTGCATGCACCTGGACCAGGGCCAGGGCCAGGGAGGAGCCTGCAACCCAGGTACATGGCCTTGACCAGAGCTGAGCCCAGGACCCTTGGGTTCGCAGTCTGACACAGTCCACTGAG